CAACAGCCAACAGGTCTATTTGTATTGTCAATTCGTAGACATATTTGGTAATAATATTGATTATGGCTATCATACGATTGAGAACGTTGTACCTTTTTGGCCGAACGATTGAGAACACTTAAAATTAACAAAGAACAAACCGCTGACCCAAAAAAAACCCAAAAAATGATACGATTGAGAACGAATTTATGTGCAATGTTGCCATAGATTGCCATATCATTTATTTAGCTTCTGAAAAATTCATTATATATACAATAAATATTCTAGAAAAAGTCATAAACTAATAATTATAATCGTATACAAATAAGCGTCTATTAATATGTAATATATAATATAAATAAAAAATTAAAAATATGTAGGACTTATAAAAACATCTAATACCTATATAATGTATATATGTATAATGTATAAAAAAAATTGTAAAATATGTACAACTTATAAAATTATGAAATATATATGTATAAAAATGAAATAATTCTAAAAATAAATAATACGAATAGACGAATAGTTTGTGCGACGACTGCAAAGCCTAACTGTCATTCTCCCGTATCTGAATAGGCCAGTGTCGGGTTAAGATGAGGAAGGGGGTAGCTGACCCGGACGGCAAAATTTTAGGGGCGGTAATTTTTTGACAACGTCAACAATAGTTTTGAAATTTTCTAATGTAGGTATATACTAGTTTTTAGGAAAAATTATTAATTTATTATTGAAAAATATTAATAACAATTATATAATATTATAATTATAATAGTTATATTATATTATATTAAGCCGCTGAGTTATTTCGTCAGTGTGCGTTTAACATATCAACGGTAAAACCATATTATTATTATTTAGCGCTCGGACCTATACATATTTATTTTCATTACACTGATATAAAATTTTGTTTATTGTATTTCTTATATACATATATCTCTTATCTCTAAGTGAGTATTTATAACCGTCAGATTATTAAATTCTAAGCAATTGTTTTTATTCTCTCTCTCTCTCTCTCTCTCTCTTGTCTAGTGGTGATAGTTGTCGTCGTTGACGAATTCTATTCACGAATCACGATTGACTAGAAAACAAACGTGCTTTATATTTTATTTTCAATCAATGTGAGTGGAAATCGCATACAAATGCTTATATTAAAATAAATTAGTTTTTCGAGTTTTTTTTTAATGTGGAAGAAATTGACGATGATATTTTACAGAGAAAAATCAAAGTAATTAATAAATATTTATAGTGTTTATAACCGGACCTTGAAAATGAAATTATACAATTTAAAACAATAATGAAGTATTTTTCAAAAGATGAAAAATTATCTATGCACAGTTTTCTTGAAGTATTAACAGTATCAAAGTTAAACGATTCATTTCCTATTTTGGAAATAACTTTAAAACTTTTTATATTTATGCCATGTTCAAATGCTAGCAGAGAGAGATCCTTCTCAGTTTTAAAGAGTCAAGAACTACCAGAAAACATAATGATGGATGACAGTGGCGCAACCAGGGGGGTGGACTCCGGGTCTGGACCCCCCCCTTGGTATGTATAATAGTATATTAATATCATATTCTAGATATACATATTATAATTTTTTATTATTTGTATATTAGTTTATTTTGTCAGACCCCCCCCCATGAAAAATTCCTGATTGCGCTACTGATGGATGATGAAAACAAGAATGATATAATACATAATTTTCATAACAATTGAACTATTTATTACCAATCAGCATTTCGTCTTTGAAGATACGTGAAGGAACATCAATGTAAGTCAGTGATCTACGAGAACACTAACTTTTTATTTGTACAAACATAAGTTAACGGCAACTTACCAAAGAAAAATGTTATAATTATTCAATCATTGAAAAAATTATCTATTAACAGATAATAAAAATATATTTATATAAATTGCTATAATTCTCTGAGTTCATATTGAGACCTTAACTCTGAAAGTCGAAGCCTTGCCTACATAAATCGTACATTTTTTAAAACATTAACTAAATTTCCTATCGGTGTTTAATATATAAAAACGAAGGTAAACACTAATTTGATAAGTGTTATCCGTGCAAATTAATAAGCCATTGAGAACGCCAAAGAAGCAACAATCAACATGTCCATAACGGTGAACACAATGAAGTTCGTATTACTGTAATCAGAGCCAAATAATGGTTATAGTATAAGGTTGCTATTACTTTTGGTAAGGCCTTTTAACCTGAAAAAAATTTCATTTTTCTACTGAAATCTGTAATAAATATTAATTAAAATAATTGTATTATATTTGTATATTGTAGTATAGTGACAATTAATTGACAAAATATTATATTTGTTAGCCAACGATTTTAGAACACTGAAAGTGGGCACTTTCAACTCGTGGACCACGGCTGTAGACCTCCCCCCCCCCCCCCCCGATCAAGTCTTGGCTGTAATGATGACAGACCGGACAAGAAGTCTAGCAGCATATTTGTTTTTCAATCCTCTAAAAATAGACTCGCTACGGTGAATGCAATATTCATGTTGGCCTCAACTCAACGAGCGGAGAACTAAGTGCTATATAAAGTGTACGGACATTTGATGGCGTATCAAATATCGGTCGTTTAACGGCAGCAAATGGATCGGCGTGCAACTCGACACTATTGTATCGGTTGGTTCCAAGGGAACGGCCGTTTCAAATGAACCGAACGGTCGAAGTCCTGTAGAAGTCAACGTACACGTTGGTGTATAATAAACGTCACTTGTTCGGACGATTTAATTAAAATGAGCTGTAAAGGTTAATAGTTCGTTTCTATTCGAGTACATGATTCTGTGCATAGACGTGCGCACGGCAGGGGGATATTTGTAGGATCGCCAGAATTTTAAATCTCCAAATCGGTACATAATATTGAATGACTGTTATTTTTTTTTATGAAACGTTCATATGGAAATAAATATAACATTTTGTAATTTAAATATTTATTGGCCAATACAAAAATAAATTATTATTGTTTATAACTATGCTGATTAGTTAACCATAATACAATGATATACTGTACAATATTATCTATGTTATTAAATAATACATTATTAATTGTTATATTACCCCAGCTTCTTTTAACCGGGGCAAACTGAATGATCGGTTGGGAATGTTCCAGTCAAACCGGGACGAAAGGCAAGTCTACCGTATCTGGTATTCGCGGGCGACCCCCGACACGTTGTAAATGGAGCTATACGATTGAAGTCTAAGTGTAAGGGCTCCGTATTTTCACTGTTTTAGTTCAAATTAAATGTAATTAATTCTAAAATATTCGGTAAATAATAAACGATGTTTCGAAACTGAAAAAATAACTAAATTTTCTAAATCTTCGTGCGAAAACTTGCTGCGATAATATAATGACTACACTTGACTACTAAAGTACAATCATAAATAATTGAAGCTATCAGAGAAAAACATACGAGATTCAAGGAAAACCTATCCATTGGGACTAATACACCACTATATACTTAAACAACATAGTTTATGGAATATACTTACAAGTTTTGTTCAGATAGGGTCCAAAAGTATTGTAGACGCCCCTGAAATACTGGTCTGCGAAAGCCGATGTACGTTTGTTAATACACGTGCGGCGTACAGTAATATTTCACATTTATTACAAAACAATTGGTGTGAATCAAAAGTTCTATACAAGAAAGTGCTCGATGATTAAAATTCTAAAAATAATGAAAGACACATGTAAACATCGTATACGTTGTAGATTAAATTTCTAGTCATGCCTAGTGTTGAATGTATGATTTTTTATTTTTATTTTTGATTTTTGGTTAGTGGAAAAATGTGTCAATCCAAAGCATTAGTATGCATGTCTTATCTACTGTAAAAAAGTTCAACAACATTAAACTGTAGAATAGTTTTAATTTTGTTTTGATAGCAAATGTTTTTTTTCGAACTATAAATATTACACTAGCCGAATTGCCTGGGAGATATTTAACTATTTTAGATTGTGGCAGTTTCAACTTAAAAAAATGTTTTAGGTCCAAAAAAACGTATAATCATCGTGTATTCTAATAATTTTTATTTATACTATAGTAATTAACACGTGTACCACTTCAAACGGTAATTATGATAATTTACAAATTATAAAAAATATATTTCTGAGGTAACCAAAAAGTAGAAAAATGTCCAGAGACCAGAACCCAAAACTGCTTTGATCTACGATTTTCGAAAAAATAAATTTTTTGAAACTCCTATATAATATATAATATATTAAGTAAATTATATCAAAATTCCAGATGTACAATATGGTTGAATGGCTACACCCTGATTAATGAGAAAATAAGTAAGTGGTATTTGAATTATTCATAGAACATAAATTGGCTACGTTGCTCTAAAGCCATACGTATTAATAATACCACTTTATATATTGTGTGGTGCAGTGCTCGAAATGAGAAAAATTAAATGGGGACCTCAATACAGAAATTTAAAAATTTCCTTCCAAGAAGCATAATTTCTTAACACAAAACCGTGGGGAAGCTTTGTCTCACATCCCCCAACTATAAAGCTATATTGGTCTATAGTGTGAACACAAAATTATACATTAGATCTAAATCATATAGGCTTATTCAACACATTAAATTATTTAAAATTAAGGTCTTAAAATAAAATATAATAATAAATAGAACAAAATTCATAGTAGACTATTTAAGCCAGTCTGATACTGCAGTCCCCCACCTTACCTGCATTTTAAATACCTACTACATTTCAGCTATACATATTTATAGTAGCCATAGACCTTACACTTATACGTAGGTCTATAATAATATCAAATAAACAAGCTATATAAAAAATATAGGACTATACAATATGACGTAAACCATAAAATAGAATAAAAGATAATAAAAATAAAATTAGAAAAATTCATTATATCGTTGACATCAATTTAACATAGACTTATACCAACATTTAAAAGATTAAGTTTTTAATATTTCTTCGTTAGTAAAAAAATTAAAATTACTTATTTACATTTAGTTAAATAATACAATACCAAATTGACAAAATGTCCTTAGCAAAAATTAGATTGATTTTATTGTAAAAATAAAAATAAAATTCATATATATATATTGCTCAAATTTTGTATAAATTATGAAATTGGTAACTTCAATAAATATAATTGACTGTATTTTTACAAATTAGGTATTTAAGATGGTGTTCAAGGTTCATCATTCCATATATCATGTTTAAGTTGAGCATCGCGAATCTTTTTCTCTGAATAAAATAAATGAACAGATTAACTATAAAAATTCATTAAAATAATTTATAAATTGAATTACCTTTGGCATTTGCCAACAATGTACGTTCTGCATTAAGAAGATCTGTTGATACATTTACCTTTAGACCCAAAGCACTACTCACTAGACGTCTAGCCATTGCAGAACAAGTCTTAGGCCTAGTTGCTGGAAGTGGTGTAACTGTCTCAGCTTTAAGTTTTGATTCTTTGATAGCATTCTTAAGAGGTCTCGTTTTCACAAGAGCAAATGGTGTATTTAATGCTTGATCAGCTACTCAATAACATAAAATATTCCATAAATATATAACTATAGTTCTTAAAAGCAAGCATTTTGTAATATTCACCTAAAAATGGACTTTCAAATACTGCTAATGCATGAGTATCATTAACCCAAATAATTTCGAAATGCTTTTTGCGGAATGCTGCAAATTGGTTCATTAAATCAACTGTTTTCAGATCAGAAGAAAATCCATAAACCTCAATGACACACTCCCCATCACCCGAACGTTCTTCCATTGTTTGATGATTGCGATAATCTTCTTTAGCACATTTTACTTGTACTTTACCCATTGTCGAGACTAACTAAAAAAATAAAAACTTTAGAAAAAAAAAAATAAAAATTGTAATTAAATATATTTTACAATCATTAAAAAGTAATAAAAACAATTGCAGAATGTACAACAATAAAATCACTATAAGATAACTAATAATTATAAAGTCTCTTATGAAAAATTCTTTAAAAAAATGTATGCAAGATATATTTCAATACATTTTTCTCCTATTATATTAATATCATATTGAATTTTAAATTATTAATGAAATCATTTATAAGTTTATACTACTTATAACAATATGTTTTTGCCAAATTAATTCAATTAATATTATCAAATATAAACAAAAATCTTGATAACAATAATGAAATGGATTACTGGATTAAGAACTTATGCAAAACATAAAAAACTATAATGAACAATGAAAGCAAGACGAGTAAAGAAAATTGGCTGACCACTAATTTTAAAATTATTAATTAGATAATAAAATACAAATAAATAACTTACTTCTTTCATGAGTAATGGATGTATATAATCATCTTCTTTATCATACAAATCTTCCCAACTGCATTCATCTACATTTATAACTTTTTTTTTCTTTTTCTTTTTCTTTGTATCTATTTGTTCATTATTTTCAACAATTTTTGGAGACTTCTCTATAACCACTGAACTTGGTTGAACAATTAATTCTCCAACTATGTTTTTAGAACTATTTTCTTCTGAATCTGTCAATGGTCCACTAATAAAACTGTCATCCAAACAATAATGCAGACAATTTGAATTATATTCAGTTTCCAATGCCATTATAGAACTATTAGAATCAACAACTACATTTTCTAGATTAATATCATGATTTATTTTAATATTATCAACTTTTGAATCCATCGTTATATTATTTATTTGAGGTTCTCTTTTTTCATTTGGTACAATTGTGCAGTTAACATCTGATATTTGAAAATCAGGTACGTTAACTAAAGCAGCATTTTCAGTACAAGTTTGAGAACTACCAACAATTTCAGATACATTTTGTGGAAGACTTGAGGTCGTTGAAATATTATTACAACTGTTAAATTTAGTTTCCATATCATGGAATTGTAATTCATCTTTTTTCAAGGTAGGAATTTCTTTTTTAACTATTTCATTCATTTTCAATTCATTAGAATTACATGCATTAGATACAGATTCATTAGAATTATATTCATTAATATTTACAAAATCAGACAAATTACTAGAAGACGGGTCTGAGGTCTGATATGATACATCATTTAATGAAAGTTCTTTATTTATGCCATCAAAAACCATATTATTTGTTAAGTCTACAAAGTTAAAAGAATTAAGTGACTCGAGTACATTATAATTGTTAAGGTTTAACTTTGGTGATGAACTTTTTATATTTTTTGAAGATAAAATCTTATCAGAACTATGTTGTATTCCAGAGTTGGCATCTAATTGATTGGGACTACTTAAATTTGAATTATTACTTGAGCTATTAGTATTAAGGGCAGTATTACTAGCTAAACCTCTAAGTGCTTTAGGTATATAAATAGGAATATCTGGTCTTTTACATTGTTTACGCCGAGTTAATCTGTAAAAAAATTGAAAATTATATATAGATTTAATACTTAGTAATGATCTACAATAATATAACTATAATCAATTTTACTTTACTTTGAACTTGTATCTAATTTTTTCTTAGGCAAGAGTGACTGCAATAATTTTTCTTGAGCTTTTCTTTCGTTAGGTGTTCTGTATGGCCGATTGATATTCGTGTCATTTTCGTCAAGTATTTCATTAGATTCTTCTAATGTTTCACAAAGCCTAGTAAAATAATATTATTAACATTTTTGTACCTATCCCTTTTGTAATATTGAAAAAATTATTAAAAGTAAAATTTTATTAACATATAATAATTAACTTATGAATTTGATATGAAATTTATTAAAATATGTTCTAATTAATAATGTAGATTTTTTTTTTTTTTTTGTTTTTACAAAATTAAATTTGTACTTATTTATTAATTTACTATAAACAGAAATAAACAATAAAATATTGTTGAAAATTGAACATTAGTACAAAATGTGATATACTAATTAATTGTTAAGATAAATGAGTATGGTAAATTTAAAAAGAATAATGAAAAAGATATTATAGAACCATAGTCAAATTATTCAGATTAAAAAATTGATGTGTTAAAAGTAACATTTTATAAAATGGTATCTACATAGAAATGTTAATTCAACATTAAGTCTTAAAATATAATATTACATACTTAATACATTTAAGTACTGATGTTGTTAAATTAATGTCTTAAGGAAAGAAACATATTCAAAACTTACATACGTCAAATTCTTTAACTTACATTGGTTTTAGTGATGAGTGATAAACAACAGTACGTCTTCCGTAGCTATTACCAATGGAAATGGTGTTCAATTCGTTAAAATAATTTTGTACCAAGGTGTGTATCAGGAAGCGATTGCGTGCGTTAAACGGCGGATATACCAGAACGACTTGTCTAGAGTAGCAGTAAGTAAACGAAAAAACATGATGTGAGCAGATTTTAAGTACAGCGAGTAAAAATAACTGTTTGTACAAGACTATACGCACTTGTTATCGTCCGAAAGGAATGTTCTGGTGTAATGTCTGACATCGGCCAAGGCTATTTCTAAAAACGAGCATTCACCCGCTCGCAGGTTCAGTAAATCCAACGACTCCATAAACAGTTCGACGGATTACCATTAGGAAGTTGCACGTACATTTGTGACACCCGACGGAATTGTGGAACACGTCTTGGGGCGGTGTTTTCCGACGGGTTCGGTTTTGGATGAAGAGCACTTTGAGAAACGAGAGAACGTCGCCTCGGACGAGAGCATACACGACAGAGTGCGCGAGATAACGGAGTACTCACCGCGATGTCGTCAACCAATAACGGCGTAAGGTCTTTTGTGAGTCGATAACGCTTATCAATCATATGATGGACAGCCTTGAGCAGTGTTGTTATTGTTGTTGTTACCGCGGTCGCGATGTTTTCAAACACGACGCGTCATCATCGATAGAGATGGCAAAAAAAATATCTATATATTTATATATTGGCATCGATAATATAGGCACATCGATATTTTAGGTTTTCGATATATCGTTTACCGATACATCGAGGGTCAGGGAAATTTTCACCATCCCTATCTGGGGGTGCATTCTCAAAATGAGTTTATTGACTTACTTGGTACAATAGCACATGATATGCTAATTAGAGAAATTAAAAATACTGAATTCTACATCGTATAAACAATATAATATAATATATAATATAATAATAATATATAACAATTAAATAAAGGTTTTCAATACAAATACTATCAGTGTGATTAATTCCTCATGATTTCGGATATTATGTATACATTGAATAGTGTTGTAGGAATATGCGTTTCTACATCAATTACAAATTGAACTCAAATCCACTTCATTGACATGGACGATTCGCCTTAATTAAATTTTTTTTTTAAATAAATTATTTTAATTTAATTTTTTCGATATATCAATATTTTTGGTGAAAATATGTCGATTATATCGGGGTACAACGATATTTTCCCTTCGATAATATAGGCACATCGATATTTTAGATTATCGATATATCGTTTACCTATATATCGAGGTCAGGGAAATGTTTGCTATCCCTATTCATCGGGGGAATTCCATTAAATACGGAGCGAATTGAAATGACGACATGTGTTGCCGTCAAAGCCGTATCTCTTGGACGGTCCAGGGTGTCTGACCCCCTCCCACCCGAAAAGTCTTCAATATTTAAAGAATGTTTAAAATACTTATTTATTTTTAATACCATCATAAATTTTCTGTCTAAAATGACTTAAACTCCAATTAATCATGGACTGCTTTTAATTTTGTATCATAATATCGTATGAAAATATGATATTAATTTTAATAAGAGAAAATTAAATCTTTTTCTGTCTTATTTTTAACCAAATATCAAAAGTTAAAATCTAAATTCAATAAAATTACAGTATACATGTTTTGGACCCCTCCTGAAAAAAATTTCTAGATACGGCCTTGATTGCCGTCATAGTTAATCGACATCAGGGCTCAAGGTATAAGCGAGTTAGGTGCAAGGTTGTAGCAACCAAATATTGTGCTCGGGGTGAAACTTCAAAATGCGGCCTTAAGTATTTTAATTTATAAAAAAACTAGTGATGGATCGAACCTGATTTTTTAAATCGAACCGAACTTGAACCGAACTGTAAATTATTTTTTCGAACCGAACCGAACCTATTATGATTTTAAGTCGAAATCAAA